CAGCATCAGCTCACAATAGGCTACAGTGCCTCTTGTCGCGACTCGAGCAGTGTGAGTAGCAGATACGCCACAAGCCAGGGAAAGATTTTTTTCCAGACAAACTCTGCAAAGAGCTTGCCACCCACTTTCTTCCTGTTCTAGACCATCAAATTAGGGAAAATCTGACAGAGAGAGCACTTGTGAATTAACCCCGTACAGAGCTTGGATTAAACAACCTCGGAATACTTACCAGATGCAAAAGATGTTCGCCAAGAGCCCATCCATCCGAGCAAATCCAGGCGAGATTCTGGCACCCCGTCAGCAAAGGCTCAAACAGTTCCAAACAGCTAGAGAAACCCATAATGGCAATATCAAGTAAGGTCAAGGTTCTATCTGTAACACCTGACAAACACCAAGTAATGAAGTCCAGGACCACGAGATCTATACGGTTCTCAAGGCCACCAAGTTACTTGCAGGACTAGGCATAAGTGTAATGGAATGGCTGACTGCAGACCATCAAAAGCTTTAAAGAAAGAGACATTGATCTCACAGTGCCTCATTTACTCGTCAGAAAAGTTCCCAGTAAGTTCTTTAACTCTAGCTTCTTCACAAGTGCTTATATTGTGTTTTGGCGCTGCTTTCTAAAAGAGGAAAGGCTTGATAGTGGACCTGTTATGAGAGGTTACGAGACCGAGTAGAACCATGTGTTTTGGGACTGGAAGGCCGTTAAACCTGATCAAAGTTATGTTTACTATGTCTTCTCTGGTACTTGAGGTCGCTAATGTATAATGTATAACACATATATAATTATTTTCTTTGACGAAATTTTGACACCGAAACAAAGATCCTATAATAGTATATCACAAGGCACCGGAGGTGCTCTCTCGTGCAGGACCCTTGCCTCACTAACAACACAGAGCAAATTCTCCGTGCCTCTTTTGTTGGCTGAGGCGGGAGACGTTTTCATCCGCTAGTTTCTTAAGTTGAAAGTTCAATTGAAATAACGTGAATGCCTCAAATAATGACTCATTGACACTGGCCAGCTGAATATGATTATACGTTCAACAGAACTTAAACTACATTCACGTTTTTCTACTGGAAATCCTCTTGGAAATAGAGAAAAGCTGCACCATTTTTGTTTATTATTTTCTCTCAAGTGGCACATAAGTAATCATTTGCTCTTGTTGTTGTTGTTGTTGTTTTTTTATTTATTTATTTATTTATTTATTTTATTGAATGAGAAATATCTCATCACCAATCCATGTCCCATTACACCCATCACGTCAGTGTACATACTTGAAGATTTTCAAGAGTTTTACAAAATTAGAAAAGTGTACAAGATTTAGGTAGAGAGAATTTTGTGCAGATGTTTTTCGGTTGTTTACCCTCAGGTATAGGTATGAAGAAAGTCATATGCAAAGAATTAAATTTCAAATAATTTGAAATGGAACATAGAATCAGTCTTATTAAACACAAAACTCTTGAAGAAAAGAGTATCCCCTAAATCGGCACTCTAAACCCGATAGGTGTCAACGAATGCATTTCATTCTACTAATTTATCCGTGTTATTCTCATCAGCATGTTCCCACTAATAGCCTACCTTAACGGCTTTTTGT